TTACCCTGAGCACGATGAATCATCTTCGAAAGACAATGAGTGTTGGCCTGTTTTGTAAACAATTCTTTGTCTGGGACCATGCAGGGCGCACAGGAAATATAACAGGGCGCTGACAATTTAAACAGGGCGCCAATTTCAGATAACAGGGCGCGGCGCCCTGTAAAAACCCCTTGTGGAGAACCCTGCAGTGACAGATGGGTCTTACCATTACCAATCTCAGTGGAAACAGTAGAGGGGTGTCAGGGCTACATTTTGATTTTATAGTGTGATACTGAAACAAACCCAGGTCCTGGTAATATACAAAGACCTGAATTAACAAAGAAGTCAATTTGTTATTAAAAGTACATCAAGGTTTACTCAGATTTATGAATGCAGTTTCTTGAGCATGTACGAGACATAGTTTGGTTGCACTTGTGTACTCTGAGATTTTGGACCCGGGTCAATGAAAGTTTTCAGTTATCAGATTAAGGGAAATCACTTTATGATGAGTTGTACTTACATATAGTACATATTAATTCAATTGTTTGCAGATGTTACATGTATTATTTTAACATGAGTATTTTATAATTAAATAACGGGGCTTAAACATTATTTCTAAATGTGTAAGAAATACATTTTCCCAAGTGTCTGGACCGATCAAGTTCAAACTTATATAACAATGTGAATACACCACACATTAGGTCATATCTCTTGCATCTATATTACAAACAGGGACTATGTCATTAACAATGACTTATTTTGCAGAGTTTGGTAAAAAGTGCAGATGATTTGGTTGAAAAGTATGATAGTGAGAAGGACCGAGATTTAGTGCGTGATGACGATGGTATGCGCAAAGAAGCCAGAGAACCGATTTTTAGCAAGGGAACATCTACTAGGATTTGGGGAGAGCTGTATAAGGTGAGATAAAATGATTACTAGAATGTCTGTATCAAAAGTTAACAGTACAGCATTATTTTTAATTATTTTACATGATGTCAGGGTGCCATATTGTATTGTCTGGTAACTTTTGTGACATTTGTGTTTTGTAACGAAATGAAATCTGCCTCTATGAATTTTGTCATTCCAGGTAATGTATAACAAAAATGACTAGAATGCATTGCTTTTAGATCTTTAACTTTTAAACGTTTATCCCCATTTATAAAATTAAACCTTCTTCATTTAATATTCCCTTCTATTTAGGTGATTGACTCATCTGATGTAGTAGTACAAGTACTGGATGCCAGGGACCCACAAGGTACTAGATCTAAACACATTGAAAACTATCTTAAAAGGGAAAAACAGTATAAACATCTTATATTCATACTCAACAAAGTAGACTTAGTTCCTACATGGGTCACGGTAAGTTGATCATCTCGTTCTTTGTCATTTTGTGTCGGTGTCAAATACCACTGAACGATTCTGTTTATATCTTGTTTTCCTTATCAATAATTTTAATTGAAAACTGAAAATGATGTAAATTTGTATCTGTTTTGAAGTCGGATAAAATTATGCGAAATACTACCGGGAACTTATCTTTACCATAAAAACACATCTGTAATTTACACCAGAGCTACTACATGTATATGTATTAGAGTAAATACAGTAGTCTATGACGTGAAAAGCAAATGTATGTTACATAACATGAAAAATAATTACAATAAAATAACTCATTTGATAATCATGCAAAGGATGGTCGGGATTTTGTTATTAGATTCATTATCAAAGTTTTCATTAAAAAACTAATAACATTATTATTTACATATTTCTTGCAGCAAAAATGGGTGGCCATCTTATCACATGACTATCCTACTTTAGCGTTTCATGCTAGCGTCAATAATCCTTTTGGTAAAGGAGCACTAATACAGCTACTCAGGCAGTTTGCAAAAGTAAGTTTTTTGTGTGTCTTATCTTTTTAAAGATGTCGTTAATTTTAAATTAAGGATACTGTATTAATTGCTCACTGGTTT